TTTCCAATTAATTTCTATCGATAATGAGTATCGATTTTATCATTCTATACACAAAAAATACAATTTATTTACATACTCGTACAAATTATGAAACCTTCAACTTTTAATTAACCATTTTTCGCAAGTTTGGTTAACCCACACTCCAACAAAAGTGGTTGTATGATCGAACTGCGTAAACACAATGATAAATTGCCTTTGATTACCGTCGCGATAAAACGGAGTTTGAATCGTATTAAACACTTTGATGGAGGACATTAAAAACAAATAATTCGTGGCAAATAATTCTCTGACTCTTCTATGTCTATCGTTGATAAATTAAGGTTCTAAAAATGGTACTTTGTCTTTGGCCACCTTTATTTCTTCATCTTAATTCAATCAATTGGAATCATTGTGTTAAAAATTTATAATTGGAGTTTTTCTTCGTACATCTGTTGTATCCATTGATTTTCACATGATCTCGATTCAGGTACAATATCGAACTGTGCAAATTGCTTTATGATCCAATTTTCATTAAAATGAAGTATTTTTTGTGATAACTTAATCTCGTTTGCTAATTTTGTTTGCTTCGTTTGTCACAATCATGTAGAGTTGTGACATTTAGTATTGATGATTCTTTTTGTGCTTGAAAAGAGTTGAAAAAAATTTATTTATTATGAAATTATGATTTTTAATTTTTAAACACATCTGTGGATAATTTTAGCAAATTGTTGTAATAATTTATTGAGCAAAAGTTTTGAATGAAAAAGAAAATGTGGTGAAAAATAAATCGAGTCTGTAATAAAATTTATAACGATATCTTTAAAAATTAATTTGTTTTTTAAATTATATAAAGTTAATTTCAAAATTAATTTTATAAAGAATTTTATACATATAAAAGTTTAATCCTATAATATAATATATAATAAATCTTGACTCTTTTATCACTAACATACTTATCTCAAATTTTACTCCTTGATACTAATGGAGATATTTATTTTATTTTGAATATTTTCTTTAATCTGCCTTTTTCACTAATTCCATATCATGTACAAACAGCATTATTTAGCACGTATTGATTCATCCAATGAGATTATTCACACAATGAACGTGTTAAATGAAACAATTACTCAAAGCTGTAGAATTTTTATTTCATTATTTTTTTCACACATATATATATATATATATATATTTTAGGAATTCGTGATCTATGATCATGAAAATCAAATCTTTTCAGTTGAAAGGATTGTGTTAGGTATTACAGACACGTGGAGAACTTTCGTAGCGCAAATACATATTTTTTCCTTTGTAGGACACCGTTACACCTACGTGTGATAAAAAATATATCTATAGAGAATCTAAAGGCTTTATGCGATGCATCAGGAAAATAAAATTCCTCTCTGTCGGAAAAATAAAATTTTCACTTGTTTATGAATGAGTAAACTCGGAAGAAATATCAAAAAAGATCATACTGTTTTCCGACATGTTTTATTTCCACTCGATAAACGTATTGTCAACGTTCGTTTAATGCTTTCTGAATTATTCTCATCTCTGATATTACAGTTGATACCGGATAATGGTCGATGAGATAATATACCCTTTCGTGTTTTGATGATGATAACAAATCTGGAACAAAAAGGGAATTTATGTTTTCACAATTATCAAAAAGAATAAAAGGAAATAGAAAATAAAAATATTTGCAAGTTTTATGAATTTTAAGGCAGAAAATATATGAGTTTGATCTTTCAATTTCTGTTCATTTCAAATGATTTCATTAATTCTTCCATTTCCAAATCTCTTTCTAGATATTATTTTACGAATTTTGTTCCATCATATTGTTGGAAAAATACAAATTCATTTGATCTATTTGCAGTGAAATCCAAGGAAATAGTAATGAAATTCCATCTATAGAATTGACTTAATCGATACTATGTGTAATATATATACATTTAAAGTCAAGAGAAATTCATCGAAGTTCCTGCAGAATTTTGATATTTATCGAATTAGTATCGAGTTTCGATTAATTTTAACTCTGAATATTAATTGTGTAATTTAGGGAACGTGGATGAAATTATTGATTTATATATAAATCAATAATTATATAAATTAATATATTCTTATAATATAGAGATTGTCTTTCCAAACGAATAAACTTTCTTATTAAAAGAAATCAAAAATTTTCTTGTTTGAAATTAAATTTTAATTTAATCTATTACAAATATTTTATTTACTTACTTATTTTAGTATATATATATTAACATAAACATTTACACTCAAAAATGAGCATCATACTGAGATTAATGATTAAATTTCAATTCAATTTAAACATAAACAATCTTAAAATTTTTCTTTTCAAATTTGAATGAAAAAGAAGTAAAAGTCTACAACAAGAAAATAAACCATTCCATATTTGTAACACTTTGTCAATATCGATCTCATCATTAACAATTTAAAACGTTATGCGTGTTCAATATTATTTTATCACGTAAAACATTCAAGATCCTTCCCCTCCTCCCCCGGACGATTAACAAATTGCAGGAAATTGAAACTACACGCTCGACCACCCATTGATATCGCACGTGACACATGAAACACTTGAAATCGGATATTCCCGAGCGATATTTAGGCCATTGATTTTTCTCAATTAAATAGGGATATCGATTGCAACGTTTAATCGAACCTTCAGTTCTCGTCAAATATTGCGAGCTATATTTACATTGTCCGATACTATGCGTGATATTATATGTTTAATGCGATGAGAGTTTCTCTCTCTCTCTCTCTTTTTATCTATCTATCTATCTATTTTTCCAATTCAGATAAGAAAAACGGAATTGTTAAACGATTAATGGAACAGGGGGAAAAGAAAAATAAAAAAAAGAGATAAAGAGAAGAATAAAGTGGAAAGAAAAGAAGAAGTGATACAGAAAAGAAAAATACAGAAGAGGGAAGAGATAATGAAAATGGAGGAGAGGAGAAAAATTAATACGGGAGAGAGAAAAGGAATAATGAAGGATAAAAACAATTAGGAGAAATCAAAGAATTTTTTTTCTTCGAATATTTTTCATTAACATTATAATTCCACTATTTCATTCCATGCCAAAGTCTATTTCTATAATTTAATCACTGATTTTTATCGCGTGTTTCTAAATTAAAAAAAATAATTTGAAAAAACGAAACAAAAAAAAATTTAAATTTCCGTTCAAAAATTCATAAATAGAAAATCGAACATTCCAATTTCTTTCTCCACCCTCCATCTCCATTTCCATATTTCGCCCAAATTTTCAACTTTTGGTCCAAGGGGAATACACGTTCCCTTTTTATCATCCTTCAACGATTCCCGTCGACTCGAAATCGCCTACGAGACATCGCCATAGCAACGTGAATAGATTAATCCACGGATATATACGCGTGTGGAATTAAGATGTCAACGTCAGAGTTGAACAGGCTTCTCCAAAGTTGCTGCCCTTGGACCGTGCATGTGCGCAGTGAGGAAGCTGCTGATCCTATTCGATCGAGAAATTGCACGATAAACGTCAAAATTTGATGACGAAGACGGATGGCACACACATAGGCCAAGAGACACGAACCCTCGAAATTCGAACGAAATCTCTGAAATGAAATAATTCATTCCTATAATTCGTCGATGATCCTTTTATTTATTTACGAAGTAATTAAATTCCAACGAATCAATAAACAGTTTTGTGAAAGCAAGAATAAAATGTCAAGTGTCCAGAATGACTTTAGCTTGAAAAAATATTTTTAAAAACTTTAAACTATTAATAAGTTTCTCATTCAGAAACTTGTTTATATATAACAGCATATGACAATCTTTCTTAAAAACACAATTTACTATTAGCTAATATTATCATAAACTACATTTACCAATTAACAAACATTTCATTATATCTTAGAATAATTTGAAATCTAGTATCCACGTTTTATTTTCTCTCTTGTCGATCTTTAATAATAATAACAAGGAAACAACTAGATTCTCCCTCGAATTCGACACGAGAATTACATAACAAGTCAAAAACATGACGAGCTCGTAAGTTTCAACACGAGCATCTGATGATTGTTGCTTTCCTCGTATTCACGTCAAATGGTCGGCTGCGTTACCTCGTAAATTTGATCGTAATGTTGCCAGTCATGAGATGTTCTTCATTGTTCTTTGCCACTAAACTTTGACCTTTGAAGCTCGAAAACCGCTCTCCCTCATTCTTCTCTAAGTTGGTGAAATGGATTATAATCATTTTATGCGATATAGAGCGAGGTATATGCAATATGGATGAGATTTAAAAGGAAATATTGTATCTTGAATGTTTGATGGAATGAAAAATTTCGATACAAGATTCTCCGTATGATCCGGATGAATATTGAATGAAGTTACATTTAATAAATAAGAATTATCATTCAAGTGATATATTAAATAAACATATAACATTTGATGAACGATCCAATTTAAAGTTGATATAGAAAAAGAAAAAAAGATATCAAAAATGATTAATCATCATTTATTTCAACATAGAGATATCTTGTTTTTGATAAAAACAATATTTATGTAAAAACTCCATAGTTGATTAAATTGATGATGGTTTAATGATGAAGATTTAACTAGAAAACTGTGCTTTTTCGTCCATCCACTTTATCTCCTTCGAACAGGAATTAAAACAAAATTGCATATTCTCTCATTATCCGAAAATAACATTTGCCCTTATTTATCCTCGTTATAAATGTTTCATGTACAATCTCGCGTTCATATTATCACGTATTATTCTTTCAAACCTTCTTTCACTCGAATAAATTGCACAAATTACGAGAGACACGTACCATTCTCATTCGTCACACGCTTTCCTTGAAGAAACATCTTGAAAAGTATTATGCCAAATTTCTCTATCAATAAAGTCACCAAAATCTCTAAAAGGGAAAGAAGAGAAGGAAAAGTAGCGCAACATGGAGCACAATCTAATCAATCCTTTCTTCCAAACTTCCCTTTCTTCCTTTCTAATGGAGACGACGTTTTTCAGGGTTTCGAGGGTGGAGAGACTAACTCGTGGCGACAATTCGCAAAGGAGAAAAGAAGAGGGAAAGGAGGACGAGGAGAAGAAAAGATGGTTTCCTCGGCGATCTTCGGCGCGGCAGCTGGTACCGGTTTGGCCTTGGTCGTCGCGATGACCATAGTGGTGTATCGTTATTACGCTGTGAAACGAAAAGGAAAATATTGGAGCAGTCTGGATCGTTGGCCGGATCCACCGGGCACGAAGAAGGGGGAGGGACGACAGGAACAATGCTCGGAGCATTGTCATGATTCTTCCTCCTCGCATGTGCTCAATTGCTGGCGGAAGCAACAGAAGAATTATTACGCTGTCCAGTCCAGGGTATGTACATAGAAAATGTTTTACTCGATTCTCCGTTTGAATTCTCTGTTTATGTGCTTGATATTAATTTAAGAGTTAAGATATGCTTGGCACGGTATGAATAAAATATCGTTTTCTGTCTTTGTTCCTCTTTCGTGAATGTTTGGAGGATTATAATTGTGCAAAATTTGAAATTTTAAGAATTTAGGATTCGATTCGTGTAAAAGAGAGGAAATTTGTAATAATAGAATTTTTAATTTTAAAATTAAAAAATTAAATTTTAAGGGAAAGAATCCATTTTCTTTCTTTCTTTCTTTCTTTTTCTTTTCTTTTTTTTTTTTTTTTTTTTTTATAATNTTTTTTTTTTTTTTGATAATATGATAAATATTGTTTGATGATTTTCATTATTATGCAATTTATCACTGGGATTTTGTTTGAATATCATCTTTTGTAGCACGCTTATTAAAAATTTTATATACAGTTTTATTGAAATTTTTAATGGAAATTTGTTATGACATAAAACTGTCACAGCAATGTTTTTTGTTTTTGTAAGATTTGGAATTTTTATAATGCCATTGATGGGCAAACATGGAGAAAAATTGATTTAAATCTTTTAAATCGTTTAAATCGTTTCATTTTGAAATGATTGTATATCACTAATTAATTGAAATTTCTACTTAATAGTAATTTTTACAATCATCCATGTTATGCAATCTAAATTTATTCCTATCATATGTCGAAGACATTATAGATATGTAATGTGAAAGTTTGCTATATATATTATTTAAACCTAATATTATCTCATATTTTCTTCCATGCAAAACTAGTAGCCTCTGACCTAATAGTTATGATCTGATCATAGCTGATAAGTATAATTGCATTTTCATAATACATATGATACAATAAAAAGTATAATTACTTAGTAATTACCAAGTAAATTTTTTTTTTTACAATTTTTACGCGCTTTTAAGGCGAGTTTAAAATTTGAAGACTTGCACAAGTTTCAAGTGGATAAACCACGTAATTAGTCAGACACGACGCTTGATAAAATCTCATCTTCTACTTAATAGTTGAAATTACAGTTTCTGTTATTAATTTCACAAATTATATTAAAATTTATTTTCTAGAACTATAAATTGAGGAAAAGGTATTTAAATTTAAATGATAAATAATTGAAACACATTGAAATTAATTAAAATTAATATTAAGATAATATTTTTCAATTTTCTTTTTTCCAAATTTAAAATAATATAATTTTTAATTATTCAACAAGTGATCTATGTTTTTCCAGTCCACTTATTAGTCGTTAGATAATCGATTTTTAATGATACCAAGATAATTTGTCCTTAATTTATTTAAATCGTTCGATTTGCAAGAAAAAAATATCAATTAAAGATCTATCGGTTTTATTAGGCCAACAAACTTCAATCTATTTTAAATTGTATAATTGCTAGAGTATTTGTATTAAGAATAATAATCATTGCAATAATTATATTTATTCTTTATTCGGATCATAAATTATAAAAGAGTATATAGTTGATGATATTTTTAATTTTAATGTGTTGTTTCAATACATGGAAAAATGGTTTGTATCCGATATTATATTCGAAATTTTAAAAAAATATTAATTTACTCTTTTATTATTGTTGTTTAAAATAATAAAATATTTGGCAAATAAATCATTTGGAAATAATTGATTTTTTAAGTAAAATTTTAAAATTTATTTTACAACTATTTATCAATCGATTTTTCTTTTGATAGATATTCAAATATTAATTAATCTAAATTCAAAATTATAATCAATTGATATACCCCACTTTATTAATGATTTGTTGTATACTGCATGATTATTCGAAATTTTATTAATATATATTATCAATTAAAATATGCTTTGCTAATAGCAATGATTAATTTGAGTATAATAAAATATTCATATAATTTGATGTTTTGGTATATATGTTTTGTAAATTTAAAAATTTCAATGCTAATATTTTTTAAGATATTACAGTATTCTTACATGATATATTTTATTTATAAAATAATATTTAATTAAATAATATTTAATATTAAAAAATAATATTTAATCAAACTTTGAAAAAAAGCATAATTATTCGTATATTTCATACAAATTCATTTAATTTAATTTAATTTACATGAATAACAACAATAAATGTTCAGATTATCTTGTTATCCCTCTATATTAGATATAGATTAGAGAAATATTTAGATATTATAGGAATCATATAATTATTTTATTTTCAGTGCAATTTTTTTAATAGTAGCTTTACATATTACAAATAAGTTAAAAAACTAACACTATTTCTTCTATTGCAAAAGTATCGACATAGCAGAGTCGTAAAATATGAAACAATCAATAATCTTTTATGTAATATAGTGATAACATATAGAATATGATATACAGATTTAACAATAAAGATACAAATTAGAAAACTAGTGCCATCTTCAGTGTATAATTGAAACTAAATATAGACAAAGAGAGTAAACTCAGAGAGAAGGATAGAGATATGGTAAAAATATTGCAATCAGCGCCATCTTCAGTGTGCCGCAAATGAAACACAAAAATAAAGGACAGAAAATAGTTAAAGAAGGATGGAGATAGTATAAAAGTAACTCGCAGCGCCATCTCTTGATTGTCAAAGGTACCTTTAAAATAGAATAATAGACCAAGTGGTGCCATCTATTGAGAAATTATTTTACTTTTGTTTTCGATGTTTCTAGTTTCTTTCGATAGATGGCTCTGATCTTCATTTCTTACTCTGTTTTACCGTTTTACTGTTTTACGTATTTTTTAATAGATGTCTTTGTTCTTCAAGAGATGGCGCTGATGATCAGTTCCTGTTCTATTTCTATCCTTCTTTAACTATTTTCTATCCTTTATTTTTATGTTTCATTTGCGGCACACTGAAGATGGCGCTGATTGCAGTATTTTTACCATATCTCTATCCTTCTCTCTGAGTTTACTCTCTTTGTCTATATCTAGTTTCAATTATATACTAAAGATGGCACTAGTTTTCTAATCTTTATCGTATCTCTATTATTAAATCTATACAACATATTCTTTATGTTACCGCTATATTCCGTAAAAAATTATTGATTGTTTTATATCTTTATCTGCTATGTCGATATTTTTGCTACAGAAGAAATGATATGAGTTTTTTAATTTATCTGCAATATAAAATTATTATTAAAAAAATTGCATTAAAAATAAAATAATTATTTAATTCCTATAATATTGCTGTAATAGATATTTCTTTAATTTATATCTAATATAGAAGGATAGTAAGATAATCTGTAAATATTTATTGTAAATTAAATATATATTTATATGAAATGTATGTATAAAAAAAATTGATTAATTAAACACAACATAATATTTTATCTGAAATATTCTATTTTAATCTTTATGAATTATTCGAAACAAAATTAATATCTTAATTAAAAATTTATAAAAAATAATTTTATTTTTAATAGATATTGCTTTAGTTTTTTACTAAAATTTTAAAATTAAAATTTACTTAAATTTTAAAAGTAGGATAGAGTTAGAATAGGAACTGATTATCAGCGCCATCTCTTGAATAACAAAGACATCTTAAAAATAGGTAAAATAGAGTAAGAAATGGAAACCAGAGCCATCTATCAAAAGAAACTAGAAACATCGAAAATAAAAGTAAAATAATTTCTCAATAGATGGCACCATTTGGTCTATTATTCTATTTTAAAGGTACCTTTGACAATCAAGAGATGGCACTACGAGTTACTTTTATGCTATCTCCATCCTTCTTTAACTATTTTCTGTCCTTTATTTTTGTGTTTCATTTGCGGCACACTGAAGATGGCGCTGATTGCAATATTTTTACCATATCTCTATCCTTCTCTCTGAGTTTACTCTCTTTGTCTATATTTAGTTTCAATTATACACTGAAGATGGCACTAGTTCTCTAATTTTTATCATATTTCTATCCTTCTTTTAATACTTACTCTCCTTTTCTACAGTTCGTCGATAAAATTTACGCGCTCAAAAAACAATTTTGTTATTTAATTAATTTTATTATCTTTTTTTATCTAATATATCGATCAAAAATCTTAAAAAATATTTTCAAAAAATGAAATTGTCGATATTTTGTTAATAATTGCATAATAATATTAAATAATAATATTATTTATAATTATAATAATATTTAATATAATATTAATATAAATATTAATAATAATATTTGCAATTATAATATATTATTAATAAGCAATATCTATAAAGAAATTTAGATTTAATTGCATTATATTTAAATCCATTTTTCTATAAAAATTCTATAAATTAATATTATTTTTATTGCGTTATAATAAAAAAAACGATAATAATTCTTAATTCATGAATAATTCATTTTATATATATAAGTTTATCTATTATTTACGATCAAAAGATCTATGAATATCCAATGCATACAATCCATAGGAATATTTATGAAATATGACATATCAAAAATATTGAAATTATTAAATTTTTATTAAATAAAATATATAATTTCTATTATTCATTTGTTTTAAATTGTAGAAAGTATTCCAATCTCTGATTTTCTCGCGATTGAAATTTTAGAATGTAAAATACATGGTTTTGTTAAATGTTAGATCTATTCTATATCTATGCTGCTACAAATTAGATATATTAAAATTTAATTTCAATTCCAACTATCATCAACGCTGCAATATTACGTACGTCTATAATTTTTAACTTCAAATTAGAATATGAATTGTGCTATAGACGCTATCATCGCATAATTTCCTTTCATTGTTTGGAATCAAAATAAATACATGTCAAACGTATATCAATTTATTAAAAACATTAATTCGAATTGACGGTATAAACAAAATTTTTCTTAATTTTCCTTAATTTAAAATTATTAAACATCGAAATAAAATCAAATTTTACCTATTTCATTCAAAGCTTTGCAGAAAATTACATTTTAAAAAAAAAAAAAAGAAAAGCAATATTGGAATAAAAATTT